AGAGACAGCTGCTGCCGCGGAAATAGGTCGTCCCCTTCCCCCACCACGACCTCTCCTTACCCATACCCTAACCCTAACCCTAACCCTAGGTCGTCCCCTTCCACCACCACGACCTCTCCGGCCACGTCACCCAAGCCTACCTCTACAAGGCAAACTACAACGAGTACCGGCGCGCGACACCCGACCCTCACCCCCTCCCTCACCCCCACCCCTCACCCTCACCCCTCACCCCCTCCCTCACCCCCTCCCTCACCCCCTCCCTCACCCCCTCCCTCACCCCCTCCCTCACCCCCTCCCTCACCCCCGTGCCGCCGCCTGGCAGGCCGCGCAAGCTCGAGTGGTACGAGGGCAAGGCCGACGCGCACGTGGATACGCAGATGGTGCCGAACGCCGTCTTCCACTACGACATCTCGCCCGTCAAGGTGGTGGTGCAGGAGGAGTCGGAGGCGCTCGCCGCCTTCGTCACCAAGATTTGCGCCGTCATCGGCGGCATCTACACGGTGGTCGGTTTGCTCGACAGCGTCATGTACCACTCGGTGCAGTCCTTCTCGAAGAAGAAATAGGTCGTAGGTTGCGCGGCCGCGGGACACCCTCCTGGCGCGGTACGCACAAAAACGCGGGCGGACACCCCCACATACCAGACCCCGGCCCACAGCAGTGGCGAGTGGGCAGAGGCTCGCGGGATGTTTTGTCTTTTTGAAAGTTGAGAGGATGATGAAAAAAGATCTTTGTGTGAGATAACGATGTGTCTTGTGAGAGTTGTGTGGATCCCGTCCGATAAGGCCGGCAAAAGGCGAACCTCCGTCTCGAGACCTCCGTGAGACTGAGAGCCGTCCCGCAGCGTCCACAGCGAGTCGCTCCCCGGGTTCTCTCGAGAGATGTGGCGCACATATCTCTACCTAATGGGGGGACGCACTTAGTGTGCGCAGTGGGAAAAGGGGACATGACGGAGGCGCGCGCGTGGGCGGTGTGCCCAAGCCCAAGCCGCAAGCCGCGACTGGTGTGTGCGACCCCAAACCGCGCCCTCGCACCCGGCCAGACAGCTAGCAGAATCATGCTCTCCGCCCTCGCCTCATCAACATGCCGGCGCGGTGAGCGACCGACTCGCTTGCGCCCCGGGGCGCGCCTCCCAAACCGCACCCCCCCTCCTCCCACGGACAGGGGGGGTGGCGGGAAAGAGGGTCGTCTCGCTCTCTGCCCACTCCCCTCGCGGCTCAAGAACTTGCGCCCGCCGCACCCGACGCCCCCGCTGCGGCCGCCGCCGGCTCGCCCTGGCCCGCCGCCGGCTCGCCCTGGCCCGCCGCCTGCTCCGCAGCGAGAGGCGCCGTGCTCGTGTCGCCCGCAGTGCCGCCACCTGTGCCGCCACTTGTGCCGCCACTTGTGCCGCCACTTGTGCCGCCCGCCGCTCGCGTGCCGTGCCGCGGGTGCGCGGCGGCGACGACAGCGCCCTGCACGGCGAGCCGCACCGCGACCTCGACGTCTCCGTTCGCCTCGTCGAGGTAGTGCTGGCACGCCTGTCATTCACAGCGGCGATGGGAGACCAAAGAGTGGGGTCCACCGTTCGCCCGCACGAGGCGGCGAGCGCCTGCGAGGTCTCCTCGAAGCCCGTCAGCCGCGCCAGCAGCGCGCGAGAAGCGCTGCTGTCCGAGCCGCGCAGCCGGGCGGGAGGGAGAGGCGCCTCCACCCGCGCCGGAGGAAGAGGCACCTCCGGGTTGGGCGGGCTGCGGGGCGCCGCCGCCACGGCGGCGGCGATGGCGGCGCTGCGGTGGCGGCGCGCGGCGGCGATTCTCGCGAGGAAGGCCATCCTCTCGGCGCGCGCCTCCGCCAGCCCCGCCTCGAGCTGGCCCACCGTGCCGGGGAGGGGCGGAGGCAGCGGAGGCGGCGGCGGGGGCGGAGGAGGAGGCAGCGGAGCGAAAGGGTCGAGCTGCTGCATCTCCGCCATGCGAGCCTGCATCTCGGCCATCCGCCTGCGCACGTCCTCGCCGCGGCCGCGCACGCCAGCCTGTGCGTGGTGAATCTCGGGTAATCTCGGGTACTCTCGGGTCCTCTCGCCGCGCACGCCAGCCTCGTCCATCGACTCGATTCGGTGCATCAGCCGGATCATCTGCTGCCGCCGCTCCCGCCGCTCGTCGACGGCGGCGCGGAAGTCGGCGAGCGCGTCCGCGTCTTGGGGCGGGTGGAGGTCGGGGTTCTCGCCCCGCGCCAGCAGCGCCGCGCGGTGCCGATCGCGGTACTCTCGCCGCGCCTCCTCGCGCACGCGCCGCACCTCCTCCCGCCGCCGCATGTACTCTGCTCGCTGCTCCGCCCGCCTGCGCGCCGCCTCCGCCTGCGCGCGCGCAACCTCGGCCGCGTGCCTGCGGCCAGGGTTGGGGCCAGGGTTTGGGCTTGGGCCGAGGCTAGGGCCGAGGTTGGGGCCGGGGTTGGGGCCGAGGTTAGGGCCGAGGCTAGGGCCCGCTTGAGCGCGCGGTGTCGCGCCCGCGCACCTCGCGCGCCGCTCGGCGGCGGTCACCTCGTCCTCGGTGGCGTGCAGCTCCGCCCAGTGCGCCTCTCCCGCGGCCGTGGCGGTCGGCACCCAGCGGGGCCACATCTCGATGGACGGCGCAAACCAGCCGCACTGCGGGCACGCGTTGTTGACCGGCGCGGAGGAGCCGGGCCGCCGCTCGCCGTGGTGGGCGAGGAGGTCGTTGCACGCCTCGAGCTCGACGGGCCCGTACGAGCACCGGCCGCACATCCGCCCGTTCGGCACGAGGAGCGCCAGCTCGGACCCCTCGGCCAGCACCTTCTCCACCTTGCGCGCGATCGGCAGCAGCGTCTTGCCCTCCAGGTACGCGCTGAAGGCGCCCTCGCTCGCGTGCTGCGCAATGTCGCGGTCCGAGAAGGCCTCGGCGCTGCACCCGTACCCGCGGAGCGGGCAGCAGCACGCGCCGGCGAGCGCGTCGAGAGCGGCGGCGTCCCCCGAGACGCTGGCCGTGTCCGCCTTTGCGGCAATGTACGAGACGCCCTGAAGCTCTACCGCCTTGGTCGACACGTACGCGCTCAGGCAGGACGCGTGCATGGCGTGGCCCTCCGCGCAGGCGAGCACCGGCAGCCGGCCATCCTCGTCCTTCTCCTCGAGGCAGATCACGCACAGGAGCGCGGCCTCCTCGCGCGAGCGCTTGGAGCCCACGCCCTCCGCCCCTCCGCTGCACACGGCCTCCGCCCCTCCGCCGCACACGGCCTCCGCCCCTCCGCCGCACACGGCCTCGGCCTCCACAGACGCCATGCGAGATGGACTGTGGCTATGCCAGGTCCGGCGGAAGCCCAACGTAAGGCTGTGAAGACTGTGAAAGCAGGTCTTTACGTGAAAGCAGGTCGGATGTCGTAACACGATGGCCGAACGGCACGATGGCCTGCGAATGCTCATTCACAGCGATGCCCGAGGGGAATTCGCGTGGAAATTCGATCCGCCGCGACTCTGGGAGGGGTCCTTTACTCGCATAATGTGGGTAAACGAAAAAAGTAGCGCCCAATTCGTCTACGTACGGCTTAGTGTGTGGTTGGGGTGGCCTCAGGCATCCCCAAGGGAGCCTCTGCGGTGCCACATAAGCAGCTTAGTGATTGTCGAGACTTAAAGTGTTTCGTCTGAAGATCTCGCAAACAAGACAGACACTACTCTATGTGGTCACCAGTAAACGAAAATTCGACTTTGAGGGATAATATCTCAAAAGACTGGGTGAGAGCATAGCATTATTATTGCATATTAGGCCGCATAAGGTCAGACTTGACCCCACAAGCATCCAGAACCCGATGCTCCGGCTCGACTGTGCCGGCACACTGCCTCCTCGCGCACGCAGCTAGCAGGCCGTTGCGGCCCGTGGTGCACCAGAGAGAGAGGTCGACGCGTTGCCCCCGCTGGCGACCCCGCGCGGCTCAGGCCAGCCAGAAGGTGTGTGGTGACGGCACCGTGGCAGGAGTGCGGAGATGAGCTCGCCGAACGCGAGCAGCAGATGGCCAAAGTGTGCCAGCGCGAGAGCCTCGCGAGCGGGCGCAGAAGGAGCTCGCCGTGACACGATGCCGGGCGGTGGTGGTGCTCTGGCGACTGTGCACAGTGGGCAAAGTCAGGCTGCAACAGGGCAGCACGATGGTAGTGCCCTGCTGCAGCCTGGCCTGACATGCACAGGGCGAACAGAGACACTACTATCGTCTGGCGCTCGTCACCGAATCTGGGCGAACTTCGACCGCCGCCACAGCTCGCCACGAGCACGCAGCGACAAAATGCTGACTGTACGGAAGTTGAGGCTAGTCGAGAGGAAGAGGCTGCCGTGCGAGCCGGCAGCTGGCTGGCTCGGGCGGACTGACTCCGGCGTGTTTTTTCGGCTTCTTCTTTCATAGTAGCGTATACGCTACTTTCGTTTACCCACATTCTGCGAGTATCGGGAAGGAGGTAGGTTGCGGGAAAAATCTGAGAAATCACCCGCACTCCCCCCCCCCCCCCTCCCTACCTAGGTAGTCGGCCGGGCGGGATCTGCCGACACATAATGACGCTTACCCTCACCTTACTCTCGAAGCAGGTCGTCCCGTCGAACGGCAACAGGGACCAGCCTCTTCGAAGCCTTATGCGGCGCTTCGAATCAGCGCAGATCGTTCTCGGGCCCCGCTTTGGGTTGGGGTCGGACGGAGACGCGAGCCTCATCGAGCAGGGGGACGAGGTTGGGATTGCACTTCCGTCCCCTCGGAACGGGTAGTTGCTGCTGCCTCGCAGGATGCAGGCCACGTCCGCCCGTGATTCGCAGACCCGACCCGTACGCAAAATAGCGGCATGCAGCACTGGCGTGGCCCGCCGGGGCGACCGGAGCAGCCATGTCCGCCGCACAGCCCGCACGTAGCGTTGCAGCAGACCTGGCGGCTTGGGTGCTGGACGCCGGCCGTGCAGGTAGATTTCTCCACACACACAAAGTGGTGGGGCAAGGGGGGGCGACCCTCGCTTCTCCACGCCCGGACACGGGCAGGAGCCCCACGGCATTCAAAGTGCAAGCACTGGCCCGGTGCACGTGGGTGAGCAGCCTGCCCCTCCCTCCCGACAAACCAACTCCCGCACACACACAATCGCACTCTGGCCATCGAATGACTCCGAATGACTCACTGTGTGTGCTAAGACAGAATCTCCGCAGACATCCAAAACGGGCCGTGCCGCGTTTGTGGTGTCTTCTCAAGCACTAGCATCCGGACGCCGCACTCGAGGCCCCAGCTTCGGCTGAGGGCTAACAAGCTGCCGAGCCCAAATCACTGTGAGAGTCGTGATTTCTTGTTGGTCTTCAAAAATCTCTCTCTCGGAGAAAGCTGATACAAAGCAAGAACACAACGTTTGTTATGATCCCCCCCAATGAACACACCAGAGAGGGAGGGCGAGACGATCGAGGGGTCCCGTACCATGCGGAATCGACCCTATCCAGTGCTCAAGTGCTCAAGAACACAACGCACTCTCTCACATGACAAGCGACAAGCGATCCCCACGACAGCGATTATGGGTGGGGACTAACTACTCGAGTACATGATCCGAAGATGAAGGGTGGAGGGGCCCGTCCGCAGAGCTAGGCGGCGCGGGCACCGCCCACTGGGGCCGAGGGCAAGAGAGGTGTGGCTACGTGACCCGAAAAGGCCAGAGTCGAGAGCAACCCTCGAGCTGGGTCGCTCATATACTCAACACGCCCCCACGACGCAGCACGAGGTTGCTGTTGTATATCCGATACCGCCGTGTTTCGAGGTAGGGCAGGCGTTCCGGGACGCGAGTTCCCCCGGGTTACCTTGGGCACTATTTTCGATCTTTTTCGTAGCCGTTTGCCGCTTGCTTGTTCTTGACGTCGTTGACCCAGTTGGCACGCTCAGGGGAGTTGACCCAGTTGGTACGCGTCTTGCGCGCCTACTTTTTAATAGTATCGGCATCACCCGCCACAAACCGCCGCCATGAAGATCTGGGTGGGCGGTAAGCCGTCATTGCCCGGCGCTGCTTGCAGCGCTCTGGGTGGTAGTGGCGGCGCTCCAAGAGTGGTGCTCTTGGGAAGAGGTTCCTCCTTTCCGCTCCCCCCCGCAAGGCGCGAGACACACAGATCTACTGATGACACCGCCGACCACCGCTTCCTTTTAAACGACGGGTACCAAATCGAGGGGTCCCGTACCACGCGGAATCGACCCTATCCAGTGTGCTCAAGTGCTCAATAATAGAGGAGCGAAAATCAGATTGTTTCTTGCTAAGGCGCCTAAGTGACGGTTGGCATCAACCGATCTGCTGCGTGTGGTGGAGTTGGTGCCCACCGCTTCCTTAAGAAAGAAATAGCAAACCCTGTCAGCAGTTCACCCTCGGGTATGTTCGTAAGAGCTAAGTATATCTGAAAATCGTGGCGCCTGCATCTCATCGAGCTCCGACCGCCGCTCCGAGCTGTCATCACCAATCGTGAGCACAACCTAGGCTTGGATGCTGAGCCACCTGAGCCACAGAGGGTGCCGCGCGGCGACGTGGCAAGCGCGCATCGTGCGATTCAGCCCCGCCGTCAGCAAGCCGGTCGCGATCAAGCCAGATTCGCTCGCGCAGTCCCGCCGCCGATCCACCACGTCCACGTCCTCGCAAGAACAAAAAAACGCTGGCTTCATCCTTGACCTCGGAACTAAGGAGCTCATTCCCGAGTGGAAAAAGATGATTGCGCCGTCGACATTCGTGACCGACGTGACGGCGGGCGTAACAGTCGGCTGCGTCGCGGTGCCGCTGTCGCTGGCCATTGCGGTTGCAAGCGGTGTTCCGCCCGAGGTGGGGCTTGTTAGCGCAGCGGTGGCGGGCGTCGCCGGCGGGCTGATGGGAGGCACGACGCTCGCCATCACGGGCCCGGCCGCGGCGATCAGCCTGCTGGTCTGCGAGGCGGTGCAGACACACGGTCTCGGCACGCTCCCCTTCATCACCCTCGCGTGCGGCGGGCTGCAGCTGGCGATGGGCGTTGTTCGCGGAGGCGGCATCACCAAATACGTGCCGGAGAGCGTCATCGCGGGCTTCACGACCGGCATTGGCGTCATGATTCTGGCCGGCCAGCTGCCAAAGGCACTCGACCATCGCCCTCCAATCACGTCGAGAGGAGGTGCTCCCTGGGTGATATTGACCCAGCCTGTTGTCTCTAGGCGCTCGACCTGACACTGCCCGCCGGCCTCAACACCGTCGAGGTGGTGCAGGCCGTGGGCGCCAACATCTTCAAAATCAACCCCGCCGCCTTCGCGCTCACGATCGGCGTGATCGGCACGATGCACGTCATTCCCAAGATCCACCCGAAGATACCGTCGGCCCTCGTCGCAGTCGGCGGAGCCACGGCCACAACGAAGCTGCTCGGGCTCAGCGCGACCTCCATCGGCGCGCTGCCGAGTGGGCTCTCCGCCTTCACGCTCAGCATGCCGACCCTCCCGCCCGTCGAGTCGCTGCCTGCGCTCGGCGGCACCCTCCTCCTCCACTGATGCCAAGACGAGCCTCGTCGAGCGCTCTCCCCGAACCTCTCCCCACCTTGTCATAGGCACCATCCTGCTCATCTACGCCATGACGAGTGCGGAGACGCTCCTCTCGTGCACGGCCCTTGACCGGCTGCGGCCGACCTCATACAAGCACAACCCCGACCAGGAGCTCTTCGGGAGGGGATCGCAAACATGACTCTCGGTTGTATCTCGGCTGTATCTCGGCTGTATCTTGGCTATAGGAGCTCATCGGGCAGGGCGTCGCCAACATCACGTCGGCTGCTTTCATGGGCAGCCCGTTTAGACGGACTTCCAGCCGTTTCACTGTATTCGCAACCCTTCTATCCACGCGAGGGCGCAGGTAGGTGTAGGGTGGGGTCCGTTCTCGTGACTCTGGTGTATCCACAACGTAGGCATGCCCGTCACCGCCGTCATCGCGCGCTCGAGCCTCAACATCAAGCTCAAGGCGAACTCCCGCCTCCCCGCCCTCGTCCAGTCGGCTTTCGTCTTTGGCTCTCTCGCGCTTTACTCGGACGTCATCTCGGCGGTCCCCCTGTCCGCTCTCGCGGGCGTGCTCATCTCGTCGGGTGCCGGGATGCTGCAGCCCGCTGAGCTCAAGAGCTGCCTCGCCGACGACAAGTACAACATCGGGCCGTACCTCGTCACCACGGGCGGCATGCTCACGATGGGCATGGCGGAGGGCATCGTCCTCGGCTGCGCCTCGTCGGCCGCCAAGCACCTCGTGCAGCAGCACCTCCTCGCCGCCGGCGGCGGCGGCTGGGTGGTCCACGCTGAGGAGGCCCCCCCCAAGGCGCCAGTCCCCTCGCCCGGCACGCGAAAGGAGGCCTGACTTGCCAGGGCGGCAGGTCAGCGCACGCTACGTACGTGTACGTGTGGTGTCACCGGCGCCGATTCCGGTGAACGCCCTGCGGTCTGAGGCCGCGCAGCCGGGATGCTCTCTCGTCGGGCTCGGGCGGTGGTGCCTTCTTTATAGGCGCCCTTGACCCAACATTGAAGGTACATATAAAGGTAGGGGAAGGGAGCGGGGGGGGCGCCCAGCATCACAGGCGAAGACGCTCAAGCAAGCAGTGTATCGACTCAGCAACAGATAGGCAGCGCTGACAGCCGCGTCACGGTCTCGCCGCCATGGGGGATGGGGGGTGCAGGGCAGGGGGGGGGGGGGGGGGCAGTCTCTCCGAACATAGCTCATTGCTCATGGCCAAACACGATCTAGAGGGCGATGGGGGGTCGGGGGCGCAGCGAGGCGGGGGGACAGATGAGCACACGATCTAGCGCGATGCGGTCGCGGTCTACGCGAATGGACTGCTCATTGGATGCGTAATTCTAGGTTGACTTCTCCGAAAGATCTAGTGCAGTTTGCAGACGCCCGCAGAATTTTGCAGCATCTCGGAGGATGTAAAGGCCCTAGCTGGGCCGCGACATCACGTCCTTCGTTTCTGTGGCAAGTGTGAAGGGTACCAGCTGCCAAAGGGGTCGATTTCTCGACCTCCCGAATTCTCCGGGTAAGGGCGGTCCCCGGCATTATTTAGGGTGCTAATCACGAATCCAAGGCCAGAAACACGCCGCAAGATCATCCTACAGGTGTACTCGGTAACTCCATGGCCCATACCTGCTTAAAGTAGATGCCCTAAAGCGGCGGTGACGACGAGAAGCGTCTTCATGGCGCCGCTCTGGTTCGTATCCATCATGGCTACCTGTGGGCGCGCGTGAACCCGTAGAAGCAGGCGCGCGTGAGAGCAGCAGGCGCGCGCGAGAGCAGGCGCACGATACCCTATCGAGGGCGACGATTTCGCCCGTCCCGATTTTCGGCGACTAGTTTACGCGGATGTCAGCGAGGACCAACCGAACGCTTGTGGATGAGAACGAATAGGCACGGAAAGTTCTCAGTCGTTCTTCACACGGCAATCGCCTCGTCTTCATCTCGAGATCTTCATCTGCACGCTTATCTCCCGTCAGATCGGATCTCCCTGCCATTCGTGAAGTCCTGATCGGATGTCTCCCTCTCGTTTCCCTGGATGGAAGCTTCGGAAACGTGCAACAGGTAGAGGGGACCCTCTGGTTTCCGGCTGGGGTTGCTGGAAACCTATGACAGGCCCGCCAGCCAGAGGAGTCCCCTCTCGTCTAGGACACGTTTGTTTGGCATGGTTGGTGGGGGCGAGGGGGGAGAGAGAGAGAAATGTTGTCGTGTTTCAAACAGACAACCCAAGGGAGGGATGGGAGGAAGGCACGCCGCCACCACACAAGCGCACTTGGAGCACTTGGAGTGCAGTTATCAACCGCACATCCAGGGCCGGGGAGCTAAGAAGCGCACCCAGCGGGCCGGATGATTGGCATCGGGTTGCGGGCAAGAGAGCCCTAGCCCCGGGGGTGCGCGGTCGCAGGGCCATAACACGTCTCCGAGGGTTAGCCCCCCGCGTACCGGGTTACCCCTTAACTGCAGAACGCACCCTCTTCCTCGACCGTGGGGGGGTGCGCGGTCGCAGGGCCATAACACGGGTCTCCGAGGGCGTACGGCAGCGCTCCGGGTTTCCCTCAGCGGCGGAATTTTTCCCTCGCGCTTCCCTGGGCCCCCCTAGCAGCAGACCGCACCCCCTCTACTCGGAGCTAAAGAATACTCTCCGAGGGTTGGACCCGCGTACCAGGTTTCCCCTTAACTGCAAGGACGCCCCCTCTACTCGGAGCTAGAGATACGTGATACGGGAATACGTACCGCCCCGGCTCAGTTTTTCTTACAGTGGCTGTATGCCCACACCCTGATGGCGGTGATAGCCCTGTGTGTGGGTAGCTCAAGGCTTGCCTGCCCGATGAGCTGCTGCGCCTCGCTCTTAGCGGGTGTCCATGCGCACGCTCCGCTCCGCCCGCACGTGGCGAGCCGCGCGCCGGCGCCGCTCCTCGGACTTCCCGGCGCTCCCCGCAACGCGCTCTCGTCGCTGCTGCAGGACGCTGGCTACAGCGGCGTGCCGACTCGGGTGGAGGAGCTGAGCGCCGGATTTTGCAACTGGGTATACCTCTGTGAGTACGAGGGCCCGCCGGAGTCCATGCCAGCATCCTGCCAGGGCGCGGCCTCCGTGGACGGCGCCGAGGTGGGAGACGCCGACGGCACGGCGGCGGGAACGGCGGAGGAGGCGCGGCCGCCGATGCGCAGGCGCAGGCGCGTCGCCAGCACGGCACGGACCGTGGTGGCCAAGCTCTTCTCTCCGCTCGCCAAGCTGAGGCTGACGCCCGCCATGCGCGGCGCCGCCGACGCGAGCGCGTCGGACGAGGGCCTCGGGCCGCGCGTGCTGTACAGCTCCTCGGACGGGCTCGTGACGGACTTCATCTCCGGGCGGACGCTGACGGAGAGCGACATCCACGCGCCGGCGGCGCACCGCGGCGTCCTCCGCGCGCTCGCGCCGCGGCTCGCGGCGCTCCACTCAGTCCGCCTCCCCGCCGGCGCTCCGGTCGTGCTCTGGCACTTCATGGACGAGATGCTCGCCCAGATCGAGGTAGGAGGGGCCGCGCTGCCGCGAGGCGTCTCTGCGGCGGCGGTCGGCTCCGAGGTGCGGAGGATGCGGAGCCGCTTCGAGGCGCTCGAGCTGCCCGTCGTCAACGGGCACGGAGACCTCAAGCCCAGCAACCTGATGATCCCCGCCAGCACCGCAGCCGCAGCCCCTTCCGCCAGCGCCTCGGCCGCCGCTGGCTCCACTGGCTCCGCCTCGGCCGGCGCCGCCCCGCTACCGACGGTCACCTTCATCGACTTCGAGCTCGCCGGGGCTCACTACCGCGGGTGAGGCCCCCCGCACGCTGCCGCCCTCAGCCGGTGCGGCTCTGCCGGTGGGCAGCCCACTGGCTCAGCCATTTGGCCTCCCTCCCTGCGGCAGGTACGACCTGTAGAAGCTCTTCTATTCACAGCTCTTCTATTCACAGCTCTTCTACTGCGGCAGGTACGACCTGTACAAGCTCTTCCGCACCTCGGGCCACCTCTCGCACAAGAACATGCACGCCCTCCTGCCGCAGCTGCCCGCCTCCGAACCTTCCCCGAACCTTCCCCGAACCGGCTCCGGAACCTTCCCGCAGGCGCGCGTTCCTCCGCGACTACCTCCGCTGCCTCGCCGAGGCGGACCAGCCGCCCGCGGGCCAGCGGCGGACTCGAGTCGCGAAGAGCGACCTCCGCGAGATCCACGCAGAGGCGAATCACTCCCCCCCCCCCCCTCCCCACCCACCCCCCCTGTGGGGTCTTGCGTGCGAGAGCGCGGGCTGAGTGGCGGAGCTGCTCTGCGCGCAGGCGCTCGCCTTCGAGCCGCTCACCTGGCTCGAGGCGGCCGTCTTCTTCTTCTTCGCGATGGCGACCTACCCGGCCAAGGCGCACGAGTGGCAGCCCCTCGCGCTCGACCGGTGGGAGTCGTACCTCGCCTCGGCGCACTTGGTCGAGCAGGACGGGCCCGCGACGCGAGAGCTGCTCGCCGCGAGGCATCGGAAGCGAGCGCTGCGGAGCCGAAAGGCACCCGGATGGGCAGACCCAGACGCGACAGGGCCGCCCTCCCCGCAGCAGCCCGAACCGAATCGGGCAGACGCGGAGGACTGACGGGCAGGGCTTGGACGGGGCGCTTGCTCGCTGCTGGCGCTGCCGCCTGCTGTAGGCGCGCGTCGCGCGAGTCGAGAGAGCCGAGCGGCCAGGGATGGCCTACCGGTGTGTATACTCTACAGGTGTTCGAAGGTGTAGGATCGGTCCTATCTGAGATTGCTCTCGCGTGCATTGCCCCATTGGACGTCCCAGTCTGGTCAGCGGCCCGAGATTTCTTTTGACGTGGCGTCCACCCCGATCCCCGTGTACCGATACCAGTGACAATCTCCGCCGCGGCGGCGAGATCCGAAAATGTACGAACGATAAGAAGACACATGCGATGCGTGCTCGGAAAATCTCTCCAAGACATGTGGCGTGTGTTTCGGTGATTGCGTGTGGCGCCGCCGCCCGAGGCCAGCCAGGCGGGGCCGGGGGAGGAGAGGACGACGTGTACCACAGAAATCGACGTAGGGAACCCGACAGTGCCACTGGAGGAGCTCGCGATCCGTGGTAGCCTCACGGGCGGGCGGTGTCGCCCTCGCGAAGCGGCGTTGCGGGGCCGCGGTGTATGCGAGTCATCTGCTGAGGAGGCGGCGGCACGCCTCCCGTGCAGCTGCAGGTCCGGCGCGCGGGCTCGCGCAGCTCCCGCCGGCGCCGCGAGCGGCCACACGAGGCGGGTGGAGGAGGGCCCCGGAGGCTCCGGGCCCCGCCCCCCCCGCCTCGCAGCGCGCGCCCTCATAGCTTCGCCTTTTTGGCGGGCGGCGAGGCCCCTGCGCCGCTCGAGGCGGCGGCCGCCTGCCCCTTCGGCCGCTTCTCGGCGGGTTTGAGGATCTGGAAGGAGCACATCAGAGTGTCGTCCACCGACATCATCGCGCCCGCATTGTCAAACTCGCCGCAATAGTTTGGCGCCGAGAAGACGGTCACCAGCTGGCGCTTTGCAAAGAACTCGTAGCCGTCCTCTACCACCTGGTGCGCGCGGCAGACGAGGTCGAGGTTGTGCTCGTCGAGAAAGTCGGAGACGACGTCGGCGCCAAACGTGTACGAGACGCCGCGGTCGTTCTCGCCCCACCCCGTCACGTCCTTGTCCGGGTCGGACCAGAGCAGGTCGCAGAGCAGGCCCTGGTCCGGCACGTCCGTCGGCCGCTCGAGGCGCGCGATCTGGCTCAGCTGCTTTAGGTCGGGCGAGAGGCCGCCGTGCATGCACAGGATCTTCTCGTCCACGACGGCGGCGACGGGCAAGCAGTTGAAGCAGTCTGTGAAGGTCTTCCACAGCTTCACCGAGAAGCGCCGCTTGCACTCGTCGTAGAAGCCGTAGATGCGGTTGATCGAGGCGCACTCGTGGTTGCCGCGCAGCAGGAAGAAGTTTTCCGGGTACTTGATCTTGTACGCGAGCAGCAGGCAGATGGTCTCGAGCGACTGCTTCCCGCGGTCCACGTAGTCACCCAAAAAGAGGTAGTTTGAGTCGGGAGGGAAGCCGCCGTACTCAAAGAGGCGCAGCAGGTCAAAGTACTGCCCGTGCAGGTCGCCGCAGATCTTGATTGGCGCCTCCAGCTCGAGCAGCGTCGGCTGCTTCAGAAAGACCTCGCGGGCGGTCGTGCAGAGCGCTCGGATCTCTGACTCGAGCAGGTTCACCTGCTTGCCAGGGCGCGCGCCGCGCACCTCGAGCAGCTTGGTGATTATCCGGTCGACGTCGACAGCGCCCGACGCCGAAGACGAGCCCGCCATCCGCCCAGCCAGCGCGCGCGCGGGCAGACAGCCAGGCAGGATCCCCTGGCACCAGACGAGGCAGGGCTGATAGGTGCGGGGCGCGCACCCAGCCGCTTTTCTTTTCTCGCTCCCGGGGCGAGAGCACCGCCTACAACCTGCCGACATGGCAGTTGCGACGGCGTCTTCACCTCGAGAACACACACACACACAATAAACACACACACACACACACACACACACACGCACTTAGCTGCCAGCCTAGCTCACGCTAGCTTCACGCAGGCGTGCGTCCTCCTGCGGCTATGCTCCGCGAGGAGTTCGAGAACGAGGCCGGCGCCGAACGCCTCAGGACGGCGGCCCGAGCCGAGTTCCCGTGTCCGTCAGCCTGTGAGTTCGCGGTTTGCTCTGTCCTCGCGTGCTTGGCAATCGCTGGCGCCGTGTCGGCTCTGAGCCTCCGGCCTGGCGGGCCTGCCATCATCGAGCGAGCGCCACGCATGCGCCCCGCTGCTACACATGCCGCCGCCGCCGCCGAGCGGAAGACCCTCAAGAGCACGGCGTGCTGCTCGCCGCTCTTCCGGTGGGTCGTCAACAAGAGCGCGCCGACGCTGGTCCTTGCACCCAAGACCGGGACGACCGCCGTCATCGCATTCATGAACGACTGCTCCACGGGTCACATTAGCCCTCTGCAGACAGTGTGCAGGCAGGCGCGGTGCGATGGCCCCACACTCCGCCACTTCATTAACCGAGGCGACATCGTCCACGCGCACGTGCGACCCACTCGCGGCCAGCGCGTCTACGGCGTCATGCGGCACCCGCGACCCGGTGGAGCGCTTCGTCAGCTTCCTCAACTACAGGCTGGACGGCCCCGGCCCCCGGACCGACTGGATCCTCCTCAAGCTGCCGTTTGGCAACGCGAGCATCTCGCAGGTCATCGACGCCATCCCCGACGACAGGGCCATGAGGAGCTTTCACCCCTTCGCGACGCAGCGCACGTACCTTGAGTGGGCGTCGCCGGTCCTGTGCAGCGTGCAGGATCTCGCCGCCCACCTCCGTCAGCACCTGGGATTTCGCAACTGTCCGGCACACATGCCGCACCGCCTCAAGTCCACCAGGGAGCGGGGCCGCCCGCGACCGGACCAGCTGCTCCGGGTGGAGCGCGCCTTCGCAGGCGACATGCAGCTCTGGAGTTCCAAGTGCGGCACGAACCGCAATCATTCCGCCACGGGCTGATTCCGTCCGATCTGTGATTGCTATGCTATGCGTCGATGATTGCTATGCTATCCACGATTTGCTCTGCCTGCACGCCATGACGTCGACAGTATACTAACACACATGATTGGTATTTGTGAGTGAGAGGCAGTGTGCATGAGAGGTGCCAAGGTATCTGTAATGCACAGAGGCCAGACACTGGTGTGAGGTTGGCATGGAGGTTGTTGGCCATTAGCTCTCAGCAAGGACACAGACATTCATCTCATCTCAGATGTCAGGCTGAGGAGGAACAAACGCTTTTGCAGCCACACGGCACATTTAGTGGGGGAAATGGTCCACTAAAACATTCATTTTCCAAGTGAAAAGGGGAGAAGTACTCTCTCTTGAGGGAAACATTGGACCGTCAGCGGTCAGGCCCCGGGGACTGGCCAGCCCGACTAACACAACCTTTAGGAACACCATTTTGCGGTCCTGAGCGGCCGTCTCGGAGCAGAAGCTTCCCTGCCTCCTTAGTCATGTTGCGGTGCCCTCGCGCCATCTGGTCCACGCACTGCTCGCAAGTAAAGCGTCTTCACAGGTCGGCAGATACGCCTCACCTTCAAAAGGGTGGCTGCCTACCCTAAAGCCCAGCCCGGGGCGTCGATTTCTCTTGTGACGATTTCACTTTAAAACGCTGGTGCAGATGGGGGTTTCTCTATAGAAGTCGGAGCCTTGCGTCCAAGGAGAGGCAGCGTGCGGCTCCGTGGACTCGGCCATCACCCGCGGGGGAGAGGGCGAAAAGAAGCACTCCCGCCCTCGCTAGCTGTCTGTTCGTTTTGGGGGTCACCCTCCCCATCATGCACGCCGCCGCGTACTCGCTATCGGTCCGCACTACTCCGCGTGAGCCCGCTCGTTGCGGTGACGAGGACAGGAGAGCACGGAGGAGCTCGGCCAGGGCGGTTAGTTCCGCCGTGTTGTTGGTATGCTTTCTCGCGCCGAGGTAGGCTGGGTGCGCCGCCGAAGTGACATCTGGCCCGTAGCCCTCGCTCGCCAGCGACGCGCCCTCATCGCCGATGGCGTCGCCCCCGAAGAGTACTGTATAGGCCCATCCTGCTTTCCCTAGGTCCTCCGACCCGTCTGTGTATGCCACCCAGTCGGGCGGGCGTCGTTGCGCCTGTTCTGTCAGTTGCTGCTGTGGGCGAAGAACGACCCCTGGTGCCTCTACCATTAGTCTCAGCTTGACCCGGCATGCCCCCCCTTCACCCTGAGGCGCTACACAGAGGAGTGCGACTGTGCTCACCGCGCAGCCGTTTGCCGCCACCCCTCGGACAGATTCGAGCGTCTCGGGGATATGTATGCGGCCATTGCGCCGAATAAAACGGCGGCAAGTGCCGGGAGGTGCACAGGGGCTTCGGCGAGAGCGTCGATGCCTTGAGTTGCCCGCTATGGCCGGGGGCTGCACCGCCGTGTGCATCAAGAAGAACTTGCACATGTGCAAACTGTGTGTATGCCGAGTTGTGACGGCGGCGAGGGCGACACGGACGGAGCAGGCGACAAAGGCGAATCCGACGGCGGAGGCGGCGACGGCGACACGGACGGAGGCGGCGAAAGCGAGACCGATGGCGGCGACGGCGACGGCAAGCGAGCTTGCTGCGGGGAGGGCGAGACGAAGGAAGGCAGCGGCGACGGCGACACGGACGGAGGCGGCGACGGCGACACGGACGGAGGCGGCGACGGCGACACGGACGGAGGCGGCGAAAGCGACACGGACGGAGGCGGCGAAGTCGACACGACCGACGGCGGGATTCCAACGGCGGCGGCGGCGACGGCGACAAGGACAGAGGCGGCGAAAGCGAGACCGACGGCGGCGACGGCGACGGCGACATGGATTGAGGCGGCAAAGGTGAGATCGGCGGCGGGGATGGCGAAACGGAGGAAGGCAGCGGCGACGGCGACACGGACGGAGGCGGCGAAGGCGACACGGACGGATCCGAGGCGGCGACGGCGACACGGACGGCGGAGCGGCGACAGCGACACGGAAGAAGGCGACGGCGAGACCGACGGCACGGCGGGGAGGGTGAGGGCGGCAGCGGGGAGGAGTGCGGCGGCAACGGCAGCGGCGAGGGCGGCGGCGACGGCGGAGGAGAGAGCGGCGGAGAGGGCGGTGGAGAAGGCCGCGGGGAGGGTGGCGGAGAGGGCGGTGGAGGCGAGGGCGGCGGCGACGGCGGAGGAGAGCGCGGAGGCGACAGTGGCGGAGAGGGCGGCGAGGAGGGTGGCGAAATCGCAAATTCACCTGCGGGAACCGGGACGGCGGGGAGGTGGCGGGACCGAATCGTACCGCGGGCCGCCGGGCAGCGGCCATACCCGCTCGGGGGAGGCAGGGCTCAGAATCGGTTTCAGGCCACAAGGCCGGTGAGTTGGGCGTGACCGTCATCTAGAACGCGCCCGCTCGCTCGCGAAGTCGGTCTGCGGAAGGTAACGACGATTCGGCTAGCTGGGCGTCTGCGGAGGCAAGGGGCGGGCTGGCGATCCGCAACGAGGCCTGTTTGTCGCGGTCGGACAGGCACCCGTCGCATCTGTGGACAGGTGTGACGACGGCAGTGACGAGTTTGCGGCGCAGCCGGCGCACGGGGTCCCGCCGTCAGCGGCCACACAGGCAAGAGCGGCACATCATGAGTCGGGGGGGTGTCGGGGCACGACGAGGGTTGCTTCGGCTGGCGCTCGGAGGCCACCAGGCGGCCCCATTTGATGTCCGGGAGGTGCCTCCCGGACGCCTCCCGGACAGCTAACGTGCAGAGCACCGTAGACGCCTTGCCCAGAAAAATTTCTGTTAGCGCTCTCGGCTCTCGGCTCGGCACGTTCCCTCGAAAGCTGATCGCCACAACGCAAGGTGTTCCTCCTCGCGAGGGTATGACGGCCCTCGGATCGGCTTACTTGCGGTACCTGAAGGTCCTCAAGTCGTTCAGCGCTCACTCACTCGCTCTTACGCTGCTGGCGGCGGTTTGCTCTTCCTCGCCGCGCCTCGCCCCGCTCGCGCTCCTCCTACTGGCGGATCGCTGCGAGGCCGCGGGCACGATCTGCAACAACAGCGTGCCGTGCTACTCCGGCTGCCCTACCAGCGTGTATGGCACGTCGCTGTGCGACGGCAACTACACGGGCACCTCGGTGGATCTGCGAAGCCAAGGGCTGTCGGGGACGATCCCTCCGCAGCTGGGCGACATCTCGCAGCTGCAGAGGCTTGGTCTGTCCGGCAACTCCATCTCGGGCACCATCCCTCCGGAGACGAGCAAGCTCTCGCAGCTGGAGTGGCTTAACCTCCGGCATAACTACAATATCTCGGGCACCATCCCTGCGGGTACGGGCAAGCTCTCGCAGCTGGAGACTCTTTACCTGGAGCGCAACTCCATCTCGGGCACCATCCCTCCGGAGACGGGCAAGCTCTCGCAGCTGGAGGAGCTTAACCTGGGCGACAACTCCATCTCGGGCACCATCCCTGCGGATACAGGCAAGCTCTCGCAGCTGGAGGTGCTTGATCTGGAAAGCAACTCCATCTCGGGCACCATCCCTCCGGAGACGGGCAAGCTCTCGCAGCTGCAGGTGCTTTACCTGTACAACAACTCCATCTCGGGCACCATCCCTGCGGATACAGGCAAGCTCTCGCAGCTAAATAAGCTTGCTCTGCGCATCAACTCCATCTCGGGCACCATCCCTCCAGAGACGGGCAAGCTCTCGCAGCTGCAGATGCTTAACCTGCGCAGCAACTCCATCTCGGGCACCATCCCTCCGGAGACGGGCAAGCTCTTGCAGCTGAATAAGCTTATTCTGCGCAGCAACTCCATCTCGGGCACCATCCCTCCGGAGACGGGCAAGCTCTCGCAGCTGCAGATGCTTTACCTGTACAACAACTCCATCTCGGGCACCGTGCCGTCGCAGCTCAACGGCCTGCCGCTACTGTACACGTGCATGCTGGGCGGCACCAACCACTTTGCCTGCCCCTTGCCCGCCCTTCCTGAAGCCTGCACCTCGGGCTCGAACTTCCCTCCGGAGTGCAACTACCCGCCCTCACCGCCCGAGCCCTCGGCACCGCCGCCCTCGCCGCCGCCCACTCCGCCGCCCTCGCCGCCGCCTCCCGGTGAGGAATGCGGGGAATGGTGGAAGGTCCTCCTCTCCGTGCTGATGACGGCCCTCGGATCGCTGGGAACCTTCGGCGGCCTTGCTTACTTGCGGTACCTGAAGGTCCTCAAGTCGTTCGTCGGCCCCGATGGCATGCCGCGCTCCGCAACTTGGCGCGGCTTTTGGGACTTCCTCAAAACTCCCTCCTACGTCGAGGTTGCCCAAGACGCGTGCAAGAGTGTCACCTCGGAGGTCGGATCAGTGGAGTCCGTCGGCGACTCAGTCCGCGAGATGTTGCCTAAGGGAGAGGAGCTTATTGACAAGATGGAAGAGGGAATGAAGAAGGCGGCCAAGCCAAACAACGAGGAGGAGGAGGAGGAGGAGGTGAAGGAGAAGAAAGCCGCGGGGACGGTCAAGCATGTGCACTCGTGCCCGCGCCGCAAGAGCGGCACAGGCACGGTCAGCGACGTGACCTGGAACGTCAGGACGCATCCGGAGCTGTACGAGCACACGGTGGACACCGAGGAGGTGAGCTGCCTGAGCAAGAGCGGCTACCTGCGCGGCAAAGACAAGGCCCTGCAAATGGCAAAGGAGCACGGCGGGACGCGCGGCCAGCAGTACGCGGCAGCCGCATTCGAGAAGGCCGAGGGAGCGACGAACGACGCGAAGGAGGAGGCCAAGGCAAACGTCGTTAGCGTCGCCAAGGGCTACCTCGCTCAGTTCGTCCCTGGCTTTTAAGCTGGCCCTCTGTGACCTCTCGTTTGGTCATCCTCGCGGCAACGAGTCCAAGTATCCCGCGTCAAGGGTGCTGCTCACTAGGTCGCTGTGCCCTCCCAGCCTCCACTCGACAAACATCCCGTCACCCCGACTATCCTGGGCGGGCCCGTTATTGGAATGCGCACTTGAGAGCTCGCACATATCTCCAGGTTGCTCACCCAACTCCGCTACTCCGGGGATCGCCGGGGATCGCAAGGGGCGCGAGCGGGGGGCGTGGGTGGGTGGGGGGGGGGGGGGGGGAGCAAGAAGTGCTTGAGCACGTGTGCAAAAGAAGGGAGTCACCCGCTTGCCCGTTCGGATCGCTCCTCCTCGCAAACCCTTGTTTCGGCACATTCCGAAAAAGAATTCTCTTTAAATACAAGCGTCAAGCCTCTCAGCGAAAAAGAATTCCACCGGCAGAGGCCGCTGTGGCCGCTGTTTCACAGACCTTGTTATTGAGAAGAAATACGTCCTATGGCGCTTTGCGCTGGTCTGTGAGAGGTTGAGGTGCGAGCCCTGGAGGCCCTGGGGATGGGGGGAGACTACCCGCGGGCCTAGAAGGCCCGCGCGCAGGGGGGTGGGACATTGAGATTGAAGGCGGAGGTGGAGGCGGCAGGTGCTTGGCTAGGGTGCCCACAAGACCCAAAAGAAAATAGCTTTCCGACTCAAAAAGGGACGCACGAGGCAAATCTGATGTTGGCCAGTTCCAATAGGAGCGAGGCCTCTTCCGTTGGGGGACCGAGTTCATAGGAAACGAGGGTTTCCCATTGTGACCCGCTCCAGCGCGAGCGTGACACTGCACTTGGCGCCGAGCGCCCGCGGCTCAGACCTTGTGCAGGCCACCCCTCGGTGACCACGCCGGTCCGGACCGATGGCGCTCGGTGTGGAGCAAGCAAGACCCCCCCCCCCCCCTCGGCGCGCGCTCGCCATTCCAACGGCCGCCAGGAGCACCAAGAGGACTCCTCATGGCTGTGGTCAAGTGGGCTTCGACCGGCCTCGGCTGGGGGGGCGGGTTGTCCCGGCTGCGGACGCCTTCTGCAGCCCCCTGGGCGTGGGTCAGCACCCCAAAACTGCCCCTCGGCGGCATACAGCACTGCCAGCCAGCCTCTTCCTCCTCCTCAAGGGCTCTACTATAGGCCATATTGCGCCGCCTCCTACTGGCAGCCGGGCGGGCGCGCGCCGCGCGCGCCTCGGCGCGCGCACGGCTCGCAAAGTTCGAACGAGTACTGCCGCCCGGCCGCCTCAAGGCTGCCGGGCGGCAGTACTCGCCTCGCACGCGCACCGGCTGATCTGGCTGCTGCGCCGGCGGCCGCTGCGCTGGCCGCTGCTGCGCTGGCTGGCGGGCGGTACGGCCGCCGGCGGCCGCTGCACCCGCGCCTTCCCTCGCGGGCGCCGTCGCGCCGCGCGCGCCCAACTCTGCTGGCACACGGCACGCGTCGGCACACAGCCGCGGAGAACAGGCGGTGCTGTGCGCGAAGCGCGCGCGATCTCGTACTTTTTAAGGCTGGATCCGGCCATTCCAAGGGTATACCTTTGAGAATCCCCAGCGTCCCACCCTCCTAGTCACACTCTCAATTTCTCGACTGGCCAACACGAAGTGCTGCGATCGGGGGTGGCCCATTTCTTTTTTCCTTTCTTTTTTTGGGCCCTGTGGGCACCCTAGCTTGGCGGGTGCGGCTGGGAGCGGCTTGATCGGGACGGATGACACGTCTGATGCAGACATGCGGTCACCCTCGATTCCTGTTTGTTGAATGTTGAAAAATTCGTCTTATCCTTTCGGGCCTGCGGAAACGTTCAGGGCTCCCATTCGTGTTACCCCGGAAGCTCCGACGAGTTGCCACCTCCAGTGCCCTGCGCGCACCTGCGCATCTTCGCTATGCCAGAGAGAGCGGCCGCACTCTGCTCGCTACCCTGCTCCAAGAGATTCCAAATCCAGCACTGCCCGGTGGCGCGCAGGGTTTCTTTTTATGCTCCTGGAGTCTTGCCTTCGTGGGGCGCCTCGGCCTTTTCTTTTCACGGGTGCGGTGAGAGTGGCTCGCCGTCGAAACGACGCGTTTTCTTCTTCTTCGTGAGCCTGTGTGTGTGCCAGTCCGCGCCAGTCTGCGCCCTTGTCGTGCCAGTGTGCTGTGAGAGAGGATGGCTCTTAAGAATTCTTCTTCTTCGGCTTAGAGTTTTCGCTTCCGGAGCGAGCGGCGAGAGCCTGCGTCGGCGACCGTCCGTGACACCGGCCCGGTCGGCTGGGGCGGCGCTCGACACCGGCATGCCCGACGCCGAGGAGAAGTCCGACGCGCGCGACGGCCGCCTCTCGGGCCCGAAGAGCTTCCCGGTGCCGCGCGGCCGCCAAGAGCCGCCGACACCGCCGACACCCGCACCGCACGGCTGCGCCTCACACCCAGCCGAGCCGGACCACTCCCCCCGCTCGTCGCTCCACAGAACCGCCAGGCCGAGTTCGAGCGGAAGCAGCACAGCAAACGGGCGCTGGAGCTCTGCGCCGACCGGGTCGAGGCGTATGCCGAGTGCGCCACCGGCCGGACCATCACGCTGCCCTTCTACTGCCGCGGCGTCTTCAACGAGCTCAACGAGTGCCTCAAGCAGCAGTGCGCCGCGCCGCCCGCCCGTCCCATCACGCCCCCCACTCACACCCTGATGAATGCTGACCGCCGCCTCGCGTCGCGCCGTAGCAAGCCGGCCGAGCAGAACTGAGGCCTCCTCGAACCTCGCTGCACGCGGGCATTCCCTCACGGCGTAGAGCGGTGCGGTGGGCCGCCGGCCACCACGTCGCGGTGGGCTGCAGCAGGGTGGATTTCAGGCCACATCCCTCTTGCCTGCCTTCTCAGCCGGAGCTCTCTGGCGTCGCCGCAGAAGCCCGCTTGGGCCTTGGCCCCTTGGCCGCTTTAACCGCGCGTGGCAGGCAGATGGCAGGCAGAGGCTGCCGCGCGCGCGGATGGTCGGGAGACGTGTTGCCTGCCGCCGGCCATGTCGGCGGATGAGGACGATTTTTCTCTCCTTGTGCGACAAACTTTTTTCTGCTAGTGAACTGAGGAGAAGCGGGTCTAGCGGCGGAGGGCACGGGGAAAGGAACTTAGTGATGGGCCCGTCGGCCTCAGTTGTTTTTCTTTGCGCTCCATTGGTCGACTCCACGACCCACCTTGTTCGCTTGGTGTTGTTTGCGACAACGCTTCCTTGAGCCCTTCGACTCGTGTGCGCCATGAGCAAGCTCGACATTGAGGCTCAGCGCGCCGATCCGATGGCCAAGTGGACAATGTTGACATTCTCCGCCTGGATCATCCCTGTAACCCTTCTTGTCAGCCTCTTGTCGGTGGCGATCGCTGACTCAGTCCGCAGCAGCTCCGGCCCACTCGAGGTTAGACCATCAGCTGCCCGTTGCCAAGCCCTCGCGTCACGCCCCACCCTCTGCGCTCGCTCAGCAGAAAGTCTCGGGCTCACCCTCCTCCCTCGCGCGGCCGCTCGCAGGTCAAGGTCGTCCACGTCGAGAACCTGACGGCGGCCACGCTTTCCGAGGGTGCTGTGCAGCCTCCCGCGGACCCTCCTCAGCCGCCACCTCCGCCGGGCGTGCCGCCTCGCGCATTCGACCCGCTCGCCGCCTTCCACCACCTGGAGCTTCTCAACGACAACGCCACCGAGGGCTTCTTCCGCGTGCTGTGGGAGGAGGGCGATAAGCGGGGCCGGCCAGCCAAGGTGTGGTTCGAGGTGGACGAGGAGGACATCGGCGTGGAGTTCGTCGTCTCCGCGATGGTCGCAAAGGGCGACGGCACAACCAGCCTGCTCCACATGCCGCTCACCTCGGGGTCGCGCACCGTGTTCAAGTTTGAGCCGTCGCCGCACGTGCAGGGCGCAATCGACCTAATCGCGCCGCAGTACGAGCTCCGGCTGCCTCCGAATGGGACGATCTCCGAGGAAACCCTCGCCAAGGGAGCCTGGCCCGGCTTCGTCAAGACTTTTGCGGGCACCAAGGTGCTCCGCTGGGAGACTCGCCTCAACGCGTCGGCGTCAGAGGCGGACCGCGTCGAGGCGCTCGAGAAGGGCACCTGCGACGTGCCGCTCTGGCGCAACGCCTCCGACCCCGTCGTGACGCCCAAGCCTGGATGCGAGCCGTACTCCATCAACGGCACCTCGTGGCTGGTGGACGTGTCCTCGTGGCTCGCGTCGGGCGTCGTGCTGTCGAGCCCGCTCACGGGGGCGAGGCTCGTCGGCGCCGAGGCCTTCCCGACCTCGGCGCGTGTGTCTGTGCAGACGCCCTCCCTCGAGGTGCGCGTCTCCTTTGCTCGGCTGCCGCCGCTCGACGGCGGGTTCGTGCCGCGCGCCGCCGACGACCGCATCGGGTACTGGGACCTCCGCTACACGGAGGTGGGCACCGAGTCGGGCCCGCTCACCGACCAGACGACCAACCGCAGGGTGGACCTGATCCACCGCTGGAGACTCGAGCCCGCCGACAAGGAGCTGGCCGCGAAGGAGCGTGCGGCGGGCAACCTCATCGCGCCGGCGAAGCCAATTACGTACCACATCGACCCCTCGGTCCCGGAGCGGTGGCGGAAGGCGATGAAGCTCGGCGTGGAGCTGTGGCAGCCCGCGTTTGAGCGGGCGGGGTGGAAGGACGCCATCATTGCGGTCGCGCCCGGCGACGAGGGCTTCCCCGAGGACTACTCCGCCGCCGACTCGCGCTACGCCTCCATATCGTGGGCCGTCTCCACCGACCGCGTCTATGCCGTCGGGCCGCACTCGTACGACCCGCGCACGGGGGAGATCCTGGACGCGGACATCATGTTTGCGCACTCGTGGGTCGACGCGTGGATCCGCGGGTTTGAGAACGAGAAGGGGAGCGCGATGGCGCGAGCGGGGGCTGAGGGCCACGACGGGAGGGACGGGCGGCGGCAACTCGACAGCAGCGGCAGCGCGCGACTCGCGCGCCGGCTGTCTGCCGCCCAGCGGTCGGTCGAGACGGCTCTTGGCGAGTCGGCGCCGCGCGCTCACCGACAGCACGATCACAGCCACGGAGAGCACGAGCACAGCCACGGCGAAGAGCACGACGACCACCATGACCACCACGACCACCACGACCACGCCGCGCACCCAGGCCCGTGCGGCATCTCCGGGGCCGCCGCGGCGCGCGAAGTCGCCGCGACGCTCCGCGCGAAGCTCCAGCTGGACGGCGTCATCGCGCCGGGCGACCCGGTGCCGGAGGAGTACGTGGAGGCGGCCTTGGTCGACGTGACGATGCACGAGGTCGGCCACACGCTCGGCATGCGCCACAACTTCAAGGCGTCCACCGCCTACTCGTACGCGCAGCTGCTCGACGCCAACTTCACAAAGACGAACGGCTTCGCGTCGTCGGTGATGGACTACATCGGCGCCTTCCTGCCGTCGAACCGCTCCCTCCCCGTGGTCGGCTCGCTCGGGGCAGAGGACGGCTACAACCCTTTCATGGGGGTGGTCGGCGCCTACGACAAGCACGTCATCGACTACGGCTACCGCCCTCTCGCAGACGAGCAGGCGGGGCGGCAGCACGCCGAGCTCGCCGCTCTCGCCGCCGAGGGCGCAGCGAACCGGGAGCTCGCATTCTCGACGGACGAGGACGGCCCGCGCACCGACGGCTCGGACCCGACGGCTTCGCTCTACGACATGTCGTCCGACCCGCTGGGCTTCTACATCGACCAGATCGCGCTCGCACAGCGCCTCCTCGAAGACGCCTCCAACCGGACCGTCGCCATCGGAGAGCCGTGGACCAAGCTGCTGCCGGCGGTGGAGCGGTACATGGGCGCGGCGCTCAAGGCGGGTACCTACGGCGCGAAGAACATCGGTGGCTTCATCTTCTCAAAGGCGCACAGGGGCGACCCCGGAGCTCCAGACCCGATGGTGCCCACGCCCGCGGCGGACCAGTGGCGGGCGCTGCGGCTCATCCTGCAGATCATCTCGGACGACTTTTGGCTCCCCGCCACGGACGCGCTCCGCTGGGCCCGCTCGCTTCCCCGGCGCGCTGGCTGGTGCGAGGGCCTGGACGTGTACTGCTACGGCCTCGAGCCGGCCGAGCTCCTCGAGCGCGTGTTTCGCACACGCGTGAACCTCCTGCACACGCTGGTGCAGCCGCACCGCCTGGCGGGCCTGCAGCAAGCGGAGTGGGAGGGCTTGGAGGCGGCGAACTCATCTTCGACTCGCTCGGTCGACGAAGAGCTGTCGTCTCGATCGGCGGAGGAGGACTGGGCGGTGGCGTGGGTGACGCCTCCTGCGGAGCTGGCGCTCGACTCCTTCGCCACGAAGACGCCATCCGTCGCAGGCCTTCTCCGGACCGTCAACAGCGTCGTCTCGCCACTTCCAACCGCCGCCGGCCTATCGGCGACCGCGGCGAAGGCGCGCTTCGCGCTGCAGCGTGTGTGGGTCTCACTCCTCACAGACATGTCTGCCGGCACGGAGGAGGCGGCCGCGGTGGCGACCTCTCTTTTGCTCAAGCTCAAGGAGGAGGTCGCAAGTGCTGTTGACACCAACACCGAGCCCGACGAGGATGCGCGCGACGCGCTACGCGCGCTGGCGCGCATGCTGGACCTCTGGGAGCGAGGCCTGCCCGTGCCCGCATAGACCAGAACTCGCATATCTTCCGCATGGACTAATGGCCAGCGAATATAGTCTCCACGCGTCTGCCCCGGTGCGGTCGCGCCTGTCGCCAACCAACGATGCTTTTATTTCGGGTTGCGCGAGAGCGATCAGGTGCTTCGTCTTCCCGGTGCATGCGGGCCCGGGAGAAGAGACCTACGAGCCGTGTGCGGTGTGGCTCCCCTCGCGCGGGGTTGCGGTGTGTGTGCCACTCTGTGTGCGCTGCGGCCACATAGTGCTGTGTGTGTGCGCGCCCGGGCCGCGCCCCGCGTCGGTGTATGTGTTTTGCTGCAGCGACGAGGATTCCGAAGTTATCTTTTTTCAATTTGTATTTTTTGGTGTACAATGTACTCTCTCTTGATACCTACCGCTTACTAAACCTTCACTCCCATAAAGCCGTACGGCACGCGGCGGAGACACACACCAACGGCAACGCACCACGCAAGCAACCGCAGCCCCGGCCTCAGTACAAGTTCCCAAGCCCAGCCTTGAGCCACTCCATGGTCGGCGGCCCCATCGTCCCTCGGAGGTCTTCCGCCGGCGCGCTGTGGCGGCGGGGGTCCTCGCCGTCCGCGGTCGTCGGCTGCCCTCGCGCGGTGAGCGCGCCGCCGGCGGTTGTGTGCGCGCCGTCGGAGCACTGGGCGATGACTGTCGCCGTCACCTCTGCCAGAGGCCCGCCGCCCGCCCCGGCCGGCGGCCCGAGCTCGGGCTCCGGATTTGCTTTCGCCGCGCGGCTGCGCGGCGTGACGAGCGACGCGACGGTGCGCGGCGAGACGAGGTGCCACCGGCTCACCGGCGGCGGCTTGACGGGCTGCTTCTGCTCGTGCGCCTCCTGGTGCAGCAGCTCCATCCGGGCGGCGAGCAGCTCTGCCGCCTCGTTAAAGAGGCCCTGCGCCTCGAGCGCGTCCTGAGGCGGAGGCCGCGAGGCGCGTGGGTCGAGGGGCGAGGCGAAAGCCGCGAGGCGGGAGGATGGGGGGGGGGGCGAGGCAGGGGAGGAGAGGGCTGCCGATGAGGGCGGCGTACCACCGCGGCCACCGCCTCGGCGCAGCCACCGCCTCGGCGCAGCCACCGCCTCGGCGCGGCCACCGCCTCGGCCCTCTCTCTCTGCTCCATCCCGGCCAGTCACGGTCATGTCTCGGCTAGACTCGTGGAGCGGCGCACCACGCGAACCATCACCTCTGACGAGCGCATGTGCGTCACCGCGGGCGGCTGCTGCTGTTGCTGCAGCTCGTGGTGCGGGCTCGACGAGTCGGGCAGGCGCAGCCACGTGGCGAGCGCTCTGTCGAGCGCGCCGAGGGGCGACTTTGGGACGATGGCGGGCACGTGGCTGGCGGCCAGCTTGTGCTTTGGCGGCGTGGCCGACTTGCGCACCTCGGCGCTGTGAGGGACCATCCGCTGCTGGATGGTCTGGATCACGCGGCCGGGCGTGTGCGGCTCGTCCATGGAGCCGCGCGCAAAGGAGTCGGTGTGGTAGTAGCCGGCGACCTTGTGCAGCCCCTTTGGCACGCGGAAGGACAAGTAGAGGGCCCGCGCGGAGATGGCGGTGAGGAGGAAGGCGACGCACATCATGATGGTGGACGGGAGGGCCACGCGGTAGTCGTGGTAGATCCAGGGGTGGATGCCGGCGGCGACGTAAAACGCCGTCAACCCGGCCGCCATCGACGCCGTGGTGTGGCGCCGCTGCGAGCTGAGCATCTCGACTGAGCGGTGCATGGAGCCGGGCGGTCCGTGGAGAGCGAGGCGCGGGCCGAGGACCGAGAGCATCAGCGTGGAGATGCAGACTTGCGTGAAGCAGGAGAAGGCTACCACCGAGAAGAAGGAGAAGCAGATCTGCAGCGCCTCCGTGCCAGCAGAGTCGCACTCCCAGCCCTCCAGCTCTCCATCGCCGAGGCCGCCGCCCACCCGTGTCGCCAACTCTGCCAGAGCAACTCCCCGCGCGAGCGGCTCTCCCTGCCTCCCACCCTCCCACACCGCTCCCGCAGCGATGCGGCCGGTGTGCGACAGGGCCCCGACCTGACCGTTGCCCGCCTCGGCCGCGCGGATCGAGGTGGCGTCGGATCGGAACGAGACGATGTCGCGCGAGACTCCCTCGGGGTCCGTGACGTTGAGCCCAACGCACATTGTCTGCACGCGCTCGGAGGTGACAAACGTGAGCGCGAGGCCGATGAGGACCGAGGCGGCGATCCCGAGCTGGTTGTAGTGCCACACGTGAAAGTTGAGCTCCTTCTCGCGCAGCCGGACCAGATCGGTGGTCAGCTCGGCGTTGAGGAACGCCTTGTCGGCGGCTAACATCAGCGCGGTCTTCTACAACCGCAAGTATTGATGAAGTAAGCGACGGAGGGCGAGCGCCTCGGCGCGAGCGAAGGACAGGATATGCGGACGGCCGGGCTCCCTCGCCGCCTCACCTTGCCGACGAGCGGAAAAAATCCCCGCGCGCGCGGGGGCGGCGGAGGCGCGCGGCGGCGGCGGCGGCGGCGGCGGCGGCGGGTGTGCGGGATGTCTGTGGGCCCGAGAGCGATGTGTGTGTGTCCGCCTTGCGTTTGTTTTCATAACATCGAAGGCTAAGCTCGAAAAAATTAAAACCCGCGCGCTTTCTTTTCATCCTCCTTGCGTAAACGAAGGACGTTCAGATTTTACGTAGGTCAATGCCGGACGACGGCGGGGGGCCCGCCGTGGTGCGCATCCTTTTCCCGCTGCCGACGATGGATCTTCGTCGTCACACGCATGCCGCTCGGAGCGTATGCTGAGGGAGGGTGTAGAGGATGTAGAGTGTAGAGCGCTGTAGAGCTGTAGAGATGTAGAGCGCTCTGGAGTGCTGTAGAGCTGTAGAGCTCTACATCTGGCGCGTGACGAACTGCCTCCGTTGTAGAGCGATGTAGAGCGCGATTTTGTTGTAGAGTTTGTTGTAGAGGCTCTACAGCAAACCCGCCGGGAAGGCAGTGACTCAAAGAGGTCGAGCCGCGCTAATGGGGTGTCTCCGAGCTTACTGGAGCTCTGATGGACGGCCCTGACTATCCCTGACACACAGAGAGTCACTCTGATGGCACACAACACCCTATAACTGCGTCATGACCAGCCTGCCATGCGTCGCTGGTGCCGCATTCGTCGCAGTGCTTCTTTAGCAGGCGGTGGACTGTCGGCTGCGAGGACGGTCGCATTTGCGCGAGGCGAGGCGAGCATTGCTGCGCGTTGCATGCGCCATGCCTCGCGCCAGCGCGTGCGGGAGCTCCTGGCTGAGCGTTGAGTCCAGGCGAGTTGCGCTGGCCACGATCGCTACGCCGAGCCGAGCTGACGCGCCGAGGCGCCGGCCAGTCGCAGCCGTGAGGCATGCCACAGCAGCAGAGGCACCTGCCACCCATTGGGCGGGCAGACAGAAGGCCAGGGCAGCACTGGCGAGTGCAACGCGCCTCATGTCGGAGAGCGACCGTGCCTCGTTCGCCGCTTTTGATGTACATGTACCTAGGTAGAGTTTGTTGTAGAGATTTCACGTTGTAGAGCGCCTCTACATCGCTCTACAACGGAGGCAGTTCGTCACGCGGTGGATGTAGAGCTCTACAGCTCTACAGCGCTCTACAGCGCTCCAGAGCGCTCTACTCGAGTACATCTCTACAGCTCTACAGCGCTCTACACTCTACATCCTCTACACCCTCCCTCAGAGCGTATGGCGAACGGATTTCCCCAAGGGCTCTTGGGGTGTGTGATAGAGCGAGCTGGGGATGGGTGGGGATGGGTGGGGATGGGTGGGGATGGGTGGGGATGGGTGGGGATGGGTGGGGATGGGTGGGGATGGGTGGGGATGGGTGGGGATGGGTGGGGACCTCGGAGATCAGCGGGACACGTCGGCCGCGCGCTCCACACAGCTGTACATGGACATGTTGCATGCACATGCGCATGTGCATGTTGTCATGTTGAACGTCAAAGTTGTGAAGCACCCACGCGCGCCGCGCTCATTCCGTCCCATTTGGGAAGGTGTGAACTCGCCTGCCTGGCGCCATGGCTCGTCCATCATCATTGAGAGGTCTGTCCCTCGCCTGCCTGGGTGTCACCCTAGTGCCCCGTGTAATTGCCAAAAACGCACACTGAATCTCACGAATCTCACGACACACCCACCAATATTTTTCATGCAATGTTGGTCACCAATTTGGGTCCTCAATCGGGTTGAATTTGGCCATCATCACGACTGACACTGACGATTTCATACTGAGTGTCAGGGGACCCCCAGATCGAGTTTATGCAATCTCCCGGGGAGATTTCGAGAAAAGCACACCGATATATCCAAGCCAACTATCCCGACCGCGTCGAACTCATCGTCATCGACGCGGGCTCTCTCGGCTACGGGACCGGCCCCAGCTTCGGCTGAGTGAGGGCTGACAAGCCTTGCCACAAGCTGCCGAGTCCAAATCACCAGGTTAGGTTAGGAACAAATCTCTCTCTCTCTCTAGGTTAGGTAGAAAGGTGAAGAACAGTTCAGGCTCTGTGACAGTCGTGATTTCTTGTTGGTTTTCAGCAAATCAAGACATATCAACAAATAAAAAAGGAAACGGCAGTTAGATCTTGGAGCTTTTGCTTTCTTTGTTTGTTGCCGGAGGCCAAGAAACCACCCATGCTTGCCCTCCTCCTCGCCACGCCCACGTTCATGGTCGCGCCGGCGCCTCCGTCGTCGCTGCGCGCCCCGGTGCGAGCGGCCACCTCGATGGGTAGCCTCGACAGGCGCGCCGTCGGCGTCGGCGCCGCCGCCGCCGTCGCGCTCGGCACCGCAGACAGCGCCAGCGCCGCCGAGGGAGGCTATCCCAAAATGACGATCAAGACCACCCAAGGCGAGATGGAGTTCGAGATGTGGGACGACGTCGCGCCGAAGCATGTCAAGTCTTTTCTCACCCTCGCGAAGCAGGGCTTCTTTGACGGCGGCGCATTTCACAGGATCATTCCTGGATTCGTCATTCAGGGCGGCGACCCCAACGCCAAGGTCGGGTACGGCCCGTCCGGCACGCTCGACGGCGCGGACAAGGCCAAGGTGCGGAAGTGGGGGACCGGAGGCCCGGGCTACAACGTGCCGGCTGAGTTTAACGAGCGGATCCACGAGTTTGGTGTGCTGTCGATGGCGCGGTCCAACGACCCGGACTCGGCGGGCTCGCAGTTCTTCGTCTGCCTCGGGAACCTGCCCTCGCTCGACCGCAAGTACACAACCTTTGGCAAGCTGACCAAGGGCGACGACGTGCTGCGCAAGATTGCCGCCGCGAAGACGGTGACGGGCGACATTCCGTTCGAGAGGCAGGGGATCGAGAGGGTGGACCCGCTGTAGACGGCGATGGAGCTCCCTCTAGTGTTTCACTCGACACCTCACCCTGTCGTGCGCCGCCGCCATCATGGCACATCACGAGCCGCATATGCGTTATGCCATGTCCACATATAGCGAAAATAATATGCGATGAACAACCCGCTGCTCTCTGTGTGTGGAACTGCGCGCCGCGGCGCCTCCCCTTCGCTCCGGGTGTGCACCCGCGACTCAGTCTCCTTTTTAACACGCTACAGAAGGTTCAAAGTATACAGCCACGACGGCACGGGGGGCTCCTGGAGGCCTGCACACACACAAGACTTACTCTACTAAGACTCTACACAAAAGTCATCTCGTTAACCGGTAAAATGTCTAGAGTCCCTAGTCGTAAAGTATGTGCGGCTTGACGCTTGTCTTTGTGGCCCGTCAGTTTGTCGCGCGCGCCGGAGTGCACAAATCTGTGCATTCTCCACCACGAGCCCGCCCGTCAGCCTTGCTCGCGGCTCGCCTTGTAGTTTCGCACCTGCCGGATGTAGGAGCGCATGTGCGTCCCCTGCTCGAGCCCTGCCGCCTCGGCGTGCCGGTACGCCTCCATGGCCGCCTTGGCCTGCCCCGCCCGGATGCTGGCGCTGAAGTACGCGTTGCACGCCTCCGCCGACACGAGTCCGCGGCGCAGCAGCCACGACCACAGCTCCACGATCTGCGCGTGCGAGGGCAGGCTCCGCGCGCGCCGCCGCTCGCACGCCGCCAGGAAGAGGCCGTGCGCCGCCTCCGCCCGCGCCACGCCCTCGGAAGTTCTGCTCGCGGCCGCCTCCTCTCCGCACGCGAAGAATGCAGCGAACGCCTCCTTCATGTGCCCCGCCTCAGCCAAGGCGGCGGAGCCCGCCGTGGAGGCTCTCCGCCGCTCCGCGGCCGCCGCCTCCTCCGCCTGGTGCTGCGGGTCGACCAGCCTCTCGTAGGCTGCGTTGATCTGCGCCATCCTCTCCGGACAGCCTCGGTGCGTCGCGTCGGGGTGGTTCTGCCGCGCCAGCTGCAGATATTTGTGCCGCACGTCAGCGGTGGGGACGCCGGGCCGGAGGCCGAGCGTCTCGTACGGGCAGCCGCAGAGGCCGCGCACGCGCGCCGCGACGACGGCGCGGCCGCGACGGGAGGCGAGCATGTGTGGTCGCTTGCGATGGAATTGGGATTGTTCCACGACGATGCGGCCGTCGCCACGGCCTGTGCGTCGCGCGGGCGGCAGGGCGGAATGCACTTGCCTTCGGTGGCCCAATCCCGCTAGGGTGGGCGTGCTTTCGAGAGTACCCCAAATGAGTGGGATGTTTGGGGCCCTGCGAGCCTCGACGCGGACCTCGACGCGGAGCCAGAGCCGTGACGGCTGTCCTAAAAAAAGAAAGGAAAGGTGTATTATCTGTTACCGCGAGGTGGCATGAAGGTTGCAGCGAGAGTCGGCGAGAGACTGCGAAGAGAGATAGGAAGAGGCGGACGCCCAAGGGTGGGCGACGGCTAGCGCACCACACCCCTCTCCTTAAAAATCCCTGTGTGGTGGCGGCGTGCCGTCCTCCCATCCCCCCTTGGGTTCTCCGTTTTCTTTCTTTCTTTCTTTCTTTACTCTCGTGTTATTCCCTTGGGTTGTCCGTTTTGTTTCTTTCTTTTCTTTCTACTCTCGTGTTATCGTCGCGTAGTACGGTACTGCGTCGGGGCGGTGCGTATTCTCGTATCACTAGCTGGTGTCGTGTTGTCGTGTCCACGACTAGCAAAACAAAACAAACAAAAACATTGCTAAAAATCTCGACTAGCTCCGAGTAGAGGGGGTGCGGTCTGCTGCTAGGGGGGCCGCCCAAGGAAGCGCGAGGGAAAAAATCCGCCGCTGAGGGAAACCCGGAGCGCTGCCGTACGCCCTCGGAGACCCGTGTTATGGCCCTGCGACCGCGCACCCACAAACAACAAAAAATCTCTCTCTCGCACCCACACCACACCCACACGTTCGAGGAAGAGGGTGCGTTCTGCAGTTAAGGGGTAAGCGGGTAACCCGGTACACGGAACCGTCCCTCGGAGACGTGTTATGGCCCTGCGACCGCGCACCCCCTGGGCTAGGGCTCTCTTGTCCGCAACCCGACACCGAGCGTCCGGCCAACTGCGTGCGCTGCTAACCTCCCCTACCTCTAGTAGAGCCCGAACCACTGCGCGCGGAAGCGTCCCAATGGAGGAGGAGGAGGACGAGGCGGAGCTGTACGTCCCTGTGCGCAAGCGCCGCGCGCTGGCGCTGCAGCAGCAGAAGGAGGCCTCCTCGCTCTCCAAGCCGCGCGACCCAAAGGTGGCGCGGCTGCTGGCAGAGGCGGCGCGCGAGGAGGGCAAGCCAAAGAAGAAGTCGCTGCTCGACGAGCGCGCCGAGCAGCTAGCCTCCGGGACCATCGTGCCGCCGACCGAGGCCGAGGCCGAGCAGGCCGAGGCGCAGCAGGTGCTCGAGTCGATCGACAACCAGCACCGGCCGCTGATGGGCGTGCGGGAGCTCGCAAAGGGCGTCGAGTACACGGCGGCGCTCAAGGTGGGGACGTGGCGGCCGCCGTACCAGATCCGGCAGATGAGCGAGGAGGAGCGGCAGGCGATCCGCGACAAGTGGCACATCCTCGTCGAGGGCGACGAGATGCCTCCGCCAATCAAGTCGTTTCGCGACATGCGCTTCCCCGAGCCGGTGCTCTCGTACCTCGTCTCGCGCGGGATCAAGAAGCCGACGCCGATCCAGATCCAGGGCCTGCCCGCCGCGCTCGCCGGCCGCGACATGATCGGCATCGCCTTCACCGGATCCGGAAAGACGCTCGTCTTCACGCTGCCCCTCGTCATGGTGCCGCCGCTGCCAACCCCCCCTCACCCCCCCCCTCACCCCCCCGCCGCCCCCCTCCGCCCCCTCCGCCGCGCCTTGCCGCGCGCCCTCACGCACCACCCCTGCCCCGCCCGCAGGTCGCCTTCGAGGAGGAGCGCCGCCTGCCCATCACGAGGGGGGAGGGACCCTTCGGGTGCGTCTCCTCCGCCGCCCCGGCCGCCGCCCGCCGCTCCCGCCCGCCGCTCCAACTCGCCGCTCCAACTCGCCGCTCCCTCCCGCCGCTGCCCACCACCCGCCCGCCCGCCCGCCGCCCCGCCGCAGGATGATCATTGTCCCGTCGCGAGAGCTCGCCACGCAGACGTGGGAGGTGGCGCGCGGGATCGCAACCGCCGTCGCCGCCGCCGACGGCACCGAGCTGCGCTCTGTCTGCTGCATCGGCGGCCAAAACGTAAAGGAGCAGATGGACACGATCCGGCCGGGCGTGCACATGGTGATCGCGACTCCGGGCCGGCTGGGCGACATGCTCGAGAAGAAGCGCTTCTCGCTCGACGTCTGCCGCTACTTGGCGCTCGACGAGGCGGATCGACTCATCGGTGAGCGCTTCTCCTCTGCAGAGGATGTATATCGCCTCCTGCACGGGCACGTCTGCCGACACGTCCCGCACTGCTGCCCGGCAGGCGAGCCCGCCTTCGAGGAGGAGGTGCGCAAGATCCTCGACTTTTTCACCGGGCAGAGGCAGACCCTCCTCTTCTCGGCAACTATGCCCGCCAAGATCCAGTCCTTCGCCCGCTCGGCGCTCGCCCGGCCGCCAGGCTCTCTTCTGCGATCTACGGCGCTCGTCTGATCGTGCCCGCGCCGCTCGTAGGCGCTCGTCCAGCCGGTGATCGTCAACGTCGGCAGGGCGGGAGCCGCCAACTTGGACGTGATCCAGGAGGTCGAGTACGTCAAGCAGGAGGCGAAGATGCTCTACTTGCTCGAGTGCCTCCAAAAGACGGCGCCGCCCGTCCTCATCTTCTGCGAGTCCAAGTCCGACGTCGACGAGATCCACGAGTACCTGCTCATCAAGGGCGTCGCCGCCGTCGGCATGCCACCTGCGGCTAGCCGAGAGGGCCGCCCGAGAGGACCCGAGAGGACCCGAGACACTGATCGCTGTAGGCATCCACGGCGGCAAAGACCAGGAGGAGCGCCAGCTCGCAATCAACATGTTCCGCACCGGAAAGAAGGACGTCCTCATCGGGACCGACGTCGCCTCGAAGGGGCTCGACTTCCCCGACATCCAGCACGTGATCAACTACGACATGCCCAAGGAGATTGAGAACTACGTCCACCGCATCGGACGCACCGGCCGCTGCGGAAAGACGGGCGTCGCCACAACCTTCATCAACAAGTCGTGCGAGGACTCGGTGCATCGAGCCCCCTAGCCCCCAAGCCCCCCTCCTGCCTTCGCGCCTGCACACACACACACACACACACACACACACACACACACACACACACACACACACACACACACACACAAACACACACACACAAACACACACACACACAAAAAAACACCCTTCCCCTACCCCCCCCCCCCTTTTTCACCCCCCCCCCCCCCCTGGCCTCTGCTCCGCAAAGGTCCTGCTCGACCTCAAGCACCTCCTCATCGAGGCGAAGCAGCGCATCCCGCCCGTCCTCGCCACCCTCGAGGACCCGTTCGCCGCCGACGACGGCGCCGACGAGCTGACCAAGGGCTGCGCCTTCTGCGGAGGCCTCGGCCACCGCGTGACGACGTGTCCAAAGCTGGAGGCGCACCGGATGAAGCAGATGATGGGAACCAAGGACACGGGCCTCGCCGACGGAGGCTACTCCGGGGGCGGCATGGGCGGCGCGGCCACAGACTGGTGACGAGAGGGGAGGTCCCAGGGCGCCATGTACGTTGCATTGTCCGTGTCTTTCGCCATCTAGTTCTCTCCTCCTCTCGTCATGTCTACAGTTCTCGTTCTCTCTCTATGACGCATATGTTGGCGGCGCTGGTGGTTGTTGGGGATAGGTGTGTGTATGCGTGGTATGGGGGGGCGTCTGAGCAGGGCCGTGATACTGTACCGGCTACCGCCACAAAACGACATGTATCTCATACGACGATTCATGTCCCTCTCCTCTCGTCTACCCCTGCCCCTCTCCGCCTCCGGCAGCGCGCCGGCACCGAGCCACTGCGCCAGATACACATAACACAAGGAACACGACACACATTGCACACAAAATCAAAAGTCTCAAGTGAAGAGACGCAAGCGAGGCGCCCCTCGCCCACCGATGCCGCCTCGGCCGCAACGGCACGCACGCACCAGGCGCGCCCTCTCCGCGGCGGGGAAACGCACAAGGCGCGGGGCCGGCGCGGTGACTAAGTGTCGGCCTTTAGCGTTTTGATCATCGGGATCGGCGCTAGGTTGAGCTTGATGAGGCCAGCCTACAACCACAGACGTGTCAAGGATGAGCCACCGACGCGCGCAGTGCGGGTGGATTGCGGCAGCGCCCACCTTGAGCTCCGCCTTGTCGATCACGCCGTTGCCGTCCGTGTCGAGCTCGTTGAAGAGCGCATTGATAGCCTCATCGTCGACGTCCTGTTCACAGAGGGATGCGTGAGGAGGCGCTGTTCACAGCTCCGGACCGAAGCGCTCCCTCGCCGCGGTCCTTCTCGGCCGCCACCGGCTTGGTCGGCGCGGCCGTGGCCGCGCTCACGTCCTTGCCGATCTGGGAGGCGACCTCGTCGATGAACTGCTCGGTGGTCAGGCCGCTGGGGCCGCACAGGTCGCGCGTGCCCTTGCCCTCCACCATGCACTTGTGCACGATCTTGCGCAGCGAGGCGGTGAAGTCCTTCACGTCTTCACGGCCGCCGGCGAGGTCCGCGGAGTGGTCCATCGCGCCGAAGAGCGCCTCGACAGCCAGGCGGGTGGCGGTGGCCCTTCTCCACACGCGAGGGTGGGGTGGGGGCCCTACCCCCGCATCTCCGCGTCCAAGAATAGGGAGTGGCCCGCACGGCACTGACAGTGCAAGGCCCGACCCGTGGATGCCTGTGTGTGTGTGTGTGTGTGTGTGTGTGTGTGTGTGTGTGTGTGTGCGTGCGTGTGTGCGGCGTCGAGATCGCCTCCACCATGCCGAGCGGGTTGAGCGAGGTCTCCTCGCCCCGCAAACGCGCCGCGTCCATGTCCGCGACGGTGCCGTGCGACGCCTCGTACTCCTTGATGATCTCGCCGTTCGCCTGCGATCAGCAACGAGAGCCGCCTCAGCCCTGATTCATTCGACACGCCTCCTGGGTCCACATCTCCACTCGCCTTCTTGCCGATGAGGACCGAGTTGATGAAGCCAGGCGAGCGGTGCACCTGCGCGACCTCGTCGGTGAGCATGTCCCCGTCGTAGTTGTGCGCCGCCATCCCGAACCCGCCTGAAGGGGGGGGGGGGGGGGGGGGGTCAGGGAGGGAGAGAGAGCCACCACAGAAAGCCACCACGTGAAGCAGAGAGCTGTCAAGCGTCTCCCCCGGAGCCGTCCGTCCAGCGCACGCGTCGCGCTCGTGTTTCTTTGCAAAAGCAGCCTCGCTGGCCGCCCGTCCAGCGGACGGTGCTGCCTGTCTCGACTACTGTTCGCCCAGTCTCGGCTCTTCTCTCACCGCCCGTCCAGCGGATGATCTGCATCGTCGCCGCGTCAGAGATGAGGTGAGGAAGCTCGCCTGCCGACGGGCCAGGACTCGAGGGCGGGTGGGGGGGGGGGGGGAGGACATCGCGCGCCCTAGGAGGCGAGGGCGGGGCCGCGCGCGCCGCCGACGGTCTCGAGGAGGCCCTTGGCGAGGTACTTGTCCTTGTAGTGCGCGTCGAAGACCTCCTTCATCGCGACCCAGAAGCCCTCCTGCCACTTGAAGACGGTCTTCTTGGTGACCACGTACGGCACCACGCCCTTGCCTGTGGGGCATGTCTCGGGCGTGTCCTGGACGTGTCCGGGACACGACCACGTACGGCACCACGCCCTCGCCCCCGTCGGCCACGAGGCAGCGCGCGAAGAAGTGGTGCGCCAGGTCGGTCACGTTGTCGATCGGGTTGTGGTACCTGAGGAATGATTGATGGTCAATTCGCAACCACTCGAGGTCCGTCGCGGCTTCAAGCCAGGTTGTGGTACGTCACGACGGCGTTGTTGTCGTCGCTCAGGTCGCGCTGGTCGACAATCGTCGCGTCGCCGTCGGCGCCCAGGTGCACAGTCACAACCTGCCGGCACAACCCTTTTGCCTGAGCGCGACGCGATTGCTCCACGGCAAACCGCTGCCGCCGCACACCTTCCCTTTCCCGATGCCCGCCTTGAAGCCGGCGCCGTACTCGCCTCCCACCTGGCCGAGATGACCCGAGATGACCCGAGATGACCCGAGATGACCCGAGACCCGAGATGAGGCGCCGTACTCGCCTCCCGCCTGGCTGCAGCTCGCTCGTCTTGAGCGGTGAGTCTGCCCCGTGGAGGCGGCCGCTGCATCCCACCCCCAGTGCTCGAGCTATGCCAGACCACTCTCCCCCGTGCCGTGCTACACCGCACGCGAGGCTGCCTTCCCCTGTGCCGTGCTACACCGGCATGCCGCGCTACACGTGTAGCTACACGGCACCGCGTGCCGCTCGAACAGGACGGGCTTCTTGTACCCGAGCTCCATGCCCTCGATGTGGATCTGGTGGGCGGGGGGAGAGCCGCGGAGGGTGGCTGGGGCGGTACGCGGCAGCGGAGGGCAGGAGCGACTGTGACGAGAAGCCGGGAGCGGGGCGAGGCGGCGACAAGGTAGTCGCATGTGCGCAGTGGGGGGGGGGTACAGGGGGGGGGGGAGGAGACCGTGTCTCGGCTGATGGTGATGCCATTCCAGCCGCGACGCATCGCTCCTGCCACGAGGGAGCGAGCCGGCTCAGCGCGACGAGGCTCGGTCGCCTAGTGTTCCCTTGAGAACCCCCCCACACACACCCCACACCCCACACCCCCCCCCCGACACCCCTCCCCTGCATGCCACCCTCTCTGCTACAGACATGGGAGGGCGCGTCAGCGCGCCGTTCGGGCTGCCCCACGTCTTCTTCAGGCCCAGAAGCTCCTGTAGCGCCACGCGGGGCGGGTGAGCACGCCGGCGGAGCGGGCGGCGGCGGAGGCGGGCCGGCGGCTCCTTCTGGATTGCAGTTGGCGTGACGGTCGGCTCTGCCAGCGCGCCGGTGCATCCGGGGTGAGGGGAGGGCCGCTCGGTATCGCGAGCGGTGAGAGGTGAGGGATGGGATGGGGCGAGGGGCGAGGGGAGGCGGTAGAGGCTTCGAATGAGGAGCGACGCACCCTTGAAGATGGCACCGATC